AAAGAACTCAGGCAGCTTTCTGAAGTCTCAAAAACCCTCTGTTTTTACTAGTTCAGTGTAGTGTTGGGGCCACTTTTTCTTTAATTTTTTTTAGATAGTTTTAGGCTATTAAGATCCTGGAGGTCATGGTCATCACAGTGAAGCTAAGACTTACTTTTTTTCAGGTAGTATGTATTTTTTAGTTGGTAGTTTCTTGAACTCACTGGGCACTGTGTGGGTTGACTTAAGATTGAGTAATTCATGCCATGGCTGTTTAATTTGGTGAAAAGCTGGCTATGATCAGAGAACAAACTGTTAGGAAGTGGTCCAGTTTTAAATTTGCATGAGTATATAAGTAGAGTATTTTGGGTTCATTCATCTCTTGCCAGTCTTAGTTGTTAAGTAATCTTATTGCATTCATATTTACATCATCCTCAGAATCTTGTGTTTCTGCCACTCTCATAAAAACTGACTCTGGTTTTTAAGGTAGAGCTTCATGCTTGGAATTAACCAGGAAAAGCCTCATTTATATCTCCAGCAAGAGGGACAGAGGGCCTGCACTGTGTACTTGCTGCCAGAAGTTTTTATAGTAATACTTTGTATCTAGGCTCTGGCTCTTACCATTAAATGTGCTTTTTATAGAGTACCAAGTTATAAATGTAGTGCAGCTACGGCATATTAATCTTACTGCAGAGATTTAATGAGGCAGTTGTTTTGCGATGGACACTATTGGGAGCAGAGAGCGACAGAGTTTTACTTTACCACTGAGCTGCAGAAATATTCCTTGCCTGGTAATAATTATAACCACATGATCTCTTAGTTTTTCTTTCTTTTGCCAGTGCTTTTCCATGCAAAAGTGGCTTGGAAGGAGGTCCATTTTGAGGCAGTGAAATGGATTGGAAATTGGGCTGTTTTCTCAGTAGTTTGACATTTTAGCTTTGATCAGGCATGGGATCCTTGTTGCACAGAGAGAAATATGTAAGATGAGTTTCAAGAATACAGATAGTCTTTGCCAGTCCACTGAGATGGCTTTTAGATATTCATTACTTTTACTTGACTTTTATATAGGTTATAAAAAGTAAATGTGGTGAAACCTCATTTTTACATGGACGGAACAGAATTTCTGCTGGTTGGCCTTAAACTGATCCCACACTTGAAATTAATTGAAGTCCATGGGTTTATTGCCTCCAACACTTTTAAGCCAGTGTAATTTTTCATTTCCCCCACAGTTGTAATTTTATTAAAGCAAGTTATAGCAATAACAATTCTTACGAAGAGGAAGATGAGACCGAGAAAAGAACCACCTGCCAGAGAACATAATCAGGGAAAAGAATGCTTCTTTTAAATTCCTATTTATAAGTAATGTTAACAGAATTGGAAACAGAAAGCTGCCACTTACTTTTGTAATAATAATTGTGCGTGTGTTCCAAAATTCAGCATTTATCCAATCAGAACGATATAAATCCAGTGTCCCATAGCACCCTTTTCAGAGGATGAGGTGGAAAGTTGGTTGAGGAGGTGAGATCATTTGTGTTGAATGCAACATGTTTGGGCACCATCATTTATGGTAGGGGGAGAGAAAGTGGTGCCTGCAGCTATGACACAGTTTGTAGTTGCAGTGTAGAGAGTTTGGAGATATTTTAAAATATAACCCTTTGCGTGGATTTATAGCATGACAATGGAGTTGGGAGAACAATGATCCTTCCTGCAGTGGTGCTGGGGGCAGGGCAGTACTTACAGGCGTGGACCTTGTATTTATAACCCCTTAGGCTGAAGTCAGAGGTTTGAATGGCTAGCAGAGTAATACAATTATTTTTTATGATTGGATCTCAAAGGACTTTATAAAAACTACATCACTAAGTCCATGTGCAATTATTGAAGTATAGCCACCTGTGGGAAAGAAATGGTTGACAGTGTAAGCTTCCTAGAATCTTCCTACATCAACTGGCATTAGGGATGCAAACCCCTAGCACAAATAAACACATCTTTTGAATGGGCAAAAAAGACTTTTTCATGAAAGTGGAGGCTGGAAAAATCTTACGAGGAGAGAGACTGAGATTCCAGTACTCATTACACCAAGGCATCATAGGCTATAATCGAACCCGCTTCCCAGAGGGTCCCTCTTAAGTGTTGACCTAAAAACAAATTCGCCACTTGGCTGGAGCATGCATCCTAAAGTTGCAGCAGAAGTGAATAAGCTTGACTGACTTCAGTCCCTGAAGGGTTCTATCTGTAAATGCAGAAGTGGAAGCAAAACTATTTTTTATTAGTCTTAAAATGACCCTCATTTTAATAACTAGCCACAGTGTTGGAAGCATGGACTGGGGTCAGTTCTTCAGCTTTTAAGAGCGAAACCATCATGCATTCTTCTATGTTTGTATTTTTGATACTGGATTCATGGAACGTGTCTATATTCTTGAATAATAAGGAAAGTGAGTTTTTATCGTTTTTCTCTGTATGGTACTTAAAGTATTCACAGAGTCTCCTTATTTAAAAACAAACAGGTCTGCAAACTGGATGTGTAGCATTTAAATAATCATATTAAAATTCAGACCTAACAGTGACATTTCCCTGAGTGCTATCAGTTTTTTTGAGAAACTAGAAACTCATACTAAACAACCAAGAGTATTCATGAGTACATGCTGCCTTCCAATAAGTGTTTTAATGGTGTGGAGGTCAGTTTGCCATAGGTGGGACAGTTATTTATTTTCCTGAATTGCTGTCTAGTTTGGCAGTATTTCATCACTTGGTTTTAGTTTGTCGGAGATCTTTGAATCATTGCCATTTTTTTTTTTTTTTTTTTTTTGCATCTGTAGCCCCAGATGAAATATTTGAGAGAAGCAAACCCAAATATGGTGGGTCCTATAGTATCAGCTTTGGAAAATGTAGGCATGCGGGTGTTTTTTACTTTAGAGGTAACTGGTCTGTTCCTGTTTACAGAGAAAATACCAGTAAAGGACTTTTAAAGGTAGTCTCTATTTTTTTCTCCTTCTCTTTCTCACCATCACTAAATAATATTTACTAAGCACTCACCTGGACATAGAACTGTGCTGGGCAGAGTACAAGACAAATGCAAAATCCCTGTGATTACTCCCCCAGGAATGAGCAGTCTCAATCCTGGTATACTGAAATGGGCACTGTGTAGAATGCTGAGATAATAATTTTCCAGATGGCAAATCAACCCAAATTACCAATGTACTTAAACAGTGTGTTCTTTTTGAAAAAACCCAACAAACAAAACTACGTGCTCTTTGAGATGGGAATTTTGCTTTTTTTTAAAGAACCCGAGAGTTGATCAGGTACATTGTGATATAAGTTGATTTTGGCATATGTGAATCATTGGAAGGGTGGTTATATAGTTATGTTTATTGCAGATGTGAAGAAAGGCCCTCGAACAACTGCCAGACAAAAAAGGGAATATAAGTGACTTGTAGAAGAAGCATTCGTAGAAACGTGCTATGTGCAAAATAGCAGAAAACAATCTCAGAGTGCAGGATATTGGTGTGGTGGCGTTTATGGACTTTTTTGAGAAATACTTGGTTATTTTTGATTCCGTGGATTCTTGATTGTAGCATTTAATGAGATATTTAAAATATTAAATAGCTGGGTATGGCAGTGTGTGCCTGTGGTCCCAACTACTCAGGAGGCTGAGGCAGGAGGATTGCTTGAGGCCAGGAGTTGGAGGCTGCAGTGAGCTATGATAGTGCCTATGAATAGCCACTGCACCTCAGCTTGGGCCACATGGTAAGAGCCATCTCTGAAAAGCAAAATTTAAAAAAATTGATTATATTTATATTTAAATTATTATATTTATTGTAGCCATTAAAAGTAATATTGTAGTCATACAAAAATGTGACTACAGATAATGCCTTACTTATTTCTTAGGTGTCTTGATACAGTTCTTTTGTAAACATTTCATTGACTAGTCAAAGCCTTATAGAAAATAGAAATCTCTGGTTTAATTTTACTGTATTTTGAGATATAGTTTATTTATGACTTTGGAGGACTTTTTGCTACTGGAAATCAGTGACCCATAAATTCAGTCACTGATTGTATTACCCTATTATCTTAATTTCCCCCAAAGAGATACTCTTCTGCCCCGTCCCCACAGTTCCTTTCTCCCTCCCTCTTTGGGAGGAATTGAGTCAAAGGACAGCGTCACTAATCAAAAAGCATTTATTGAGCTCTAAGTAAACGCATTCCATGTGCTTTTCTCTCCCTGTACTCCCGCACCTCTCCTTGCTGTTTGTGTATCATTTTTAGGGTTAAAATGGAACTATTTTTAATTTTCACAACATTTAGTTTTTCAACGCTAGTAATGCCAACTCAAGTTGTTGACATCATTATTATTTATAATTGCTTTTCATATATCTTATTTCACTTTTTTGGATAATTTTGAAAACAAGAGACATACATTTACACTTGAGTTTGCGTTTGTAAGAATGTTTTTGCTGTGTGATACAGCTTATTTTGCTATCAGTGTCTAACAAATAATGGAGTAGCTGTATGTTTTGACCAGTTTATAAGTAAAGGTCAATTTTGTGCCTATGGTGATTACCTTAGCTTATTCTAGACTTTTGGCTAATTCTGGTAATTTCCCACGAAAGAGTATATTTAGCAGAAAAAGAGTTCATTCTTAAGCACAGTGGGGTTTTTTTTTTTCTTTTGCATTGCAGACTGTTTAATTTTAAAAGTGATTTATCTCTCTCTTTTAAGCAAAAACTAAAAGGCTATGAAAAAAATGGCAAAGTCAATCTTAGGAGTAGACCAGTGATTTGATGGGAGAGATAGGAAAAGGGCTACATGGTGGGGAAAGGGAAGAAGGCCTTTGATGATCACTAACTGAATAATGTTAGGAGAGGCTCACTTTTGATTCGTCTGTAATAAAATCTGCAATGAAGCCCTCCTATTGCAGCTTCAAGGAAAATGGTGTTTCTGTTTTTGGTAGCAAGAAGATTAAACGTTACTTTAAAAAGAACCTGTCTTTAAACCCCATACTTACAGTGTTGATTTTTTTTCAGACCCCAACTGTAAACTTGAAGACAAGACTGAAGATGGAGAGGCGCTAGATTGTAAGAAGAGGCCGGAAGACGGGGAGGAGTTGGAAGACGAGGCTGTGCACAGCTGTGACAGCTGCCTCCAGGTGTTTGAATCGCTGAGCGATATCACAGAACACAAGATTAATCAATGTCAACTGACAGGTAAACAATACTTACCACTTTTTTGTCTTCTTGTACTGTTCTATTTCTGATTTTTTTCAGTTTGTTCCTTTATGTGTTTTTCTCTTCAAATTATTTTATTCCTACACTTGAATACCTAGCTAAGTCTAGAGGTGCTTTTGAAAGAATTCTGAGATGGCTGTTTGGGGTAACCTCAGTGTCACAGCCCTCTTAGATTTTGAAATGCACCTAGATGTTAAGAGCAAATGAGTGTATTTTCTTTTTAAATTTTTTTTACATGATGCCATTTAGGAGCAGAACGTGAATATTGGATGACTAATATATTTTAAAAATCCTTTGCTTACCTTTTCAAAGACAGCATGAGAAAGGAACATGTTAGCTTAGATAACACTTCCTGAAGGAAACCTTTTCTGATCACCCTCTGCCTGAGTTAGCCACGTTGTTTTGTGTTCCCATAAAGTTTAATGCTTATCCTTGAGCACCACAGTTCTCACTGGGTATGTTCATTTTTCCATCTCACTCGTTAGACTGGAAGCTCATGGATGGCTGAAATTGTGTCTTATTCGTTCTTGCATTATCTAAGCCTAGCACAATACCTGGCCTATAGTAGGTACTCATTAAGGCTGGGAAGTTATTCTGCTATGCAGTTCCTTGGAAGAGACATATTTAAAGCAACATGTTGTATAGCATGTTTGATGTAATGGCTAAATAAAACTGGGACTCAGTTTACCAAATATCTACCCCCTTTAAAATATATCCTACAAGAACGCATTCTATGAGCCTGGGTAGGGCATTTTACATAGAAGTCTGTAAGACACACATCATTCCACTCTTCCTGTTTGAAGCTGATGCCACTCCTTTGTGTGTGTATGTGTGTGTCTCTCTGTCTCTGCCTCTTATTTTCCCAGCACAAATCTTTCTTCAATTAAGCGAGTATGGGAAATGTGTTTACTGGACAAGTGGTTCTCTGTTTTCCATAGCATATTCATATTTTTATAAGATTTTAAAGTGTATTCTATTTTAACAAGGTTTTCTGAACGGATTATTGTGGAATGTTGGATTAAATCCATTAAATAGACTTCTTTATTAAAAGTGCCTTGTGGCTTTTCTCTTCAAAAAGGGATTGCAGTGAGCAAGTTTATTAGGCCCCAGAATCATCTTCCTTTCAGAAAACCCATAAACATTTTCTGGAACTAAAGTTTGAGAATCGATGTTGCTTATATAAATATTGGCCATACATATATATTTTACAGTTTATATATGCTTCTAGGGAGCAACTTTTATTTTGATACAATTCCAAACATACAGAAAACTTAGAAAACGGATATAAGGAACTTCCGTATCATTTATCTGATTCACCAGTTGCTTACATTTTTCTCCATTTACTTTATTATTCTCTTTTTCTCTCTCCTATAGCATTTCTTTCTTAATCATTTGAGAGAAAGTTGGAGACATCACACCTCTATAAATATATCCTTTGTATTTCTGAAGCACAAATCTATTCTCTTACATATCTATAGTATACTTACTGAAACTGAGGTTAGTCTTTAGGCCAGGTGTGGTGGCTCACACCTGTAATCCTAGGGAGGCCAAAGCAGGTGGATCATCTGAGGTCAGGAGTTCAAGACCAGCCTGACCAACATGGTGAAACCCCATCTCTACTAAAAATAAAAATTAGTCAGGTGTGGTGGCGTGGGCCTGTAATCCCAACTAGTCAGGAGGCTCAGGCAGGAGAATTGCTAGAACCCGGGAGTCATAGGTTGCAGTGAGTCGAGATCACGCCATTGCACTCCAGCCAGGGCAACAAGAATGAAACTCCGTGCCCCAAAAAAAGAAAGTTAACGTTTAATACAAATAGATACTACTATCTAATTCACAATCCATATTTAAATTTCAGCAGTTGTTTTAATAATGTCCTTGGTAGCTATTTTTTCTCCACATCTAGGATTCAGGATCATGCATAACATTTAACTGTCATCTCTTTTACCTCCTTTAACCTGGAATGTTCTCTGAGCCTCTCTTTGCCTTTCCTGACTATGACATTTTTGAAAAGAAGCTACCAGTTAGTTTATAGAATACCCATCCATTTGGGCTTGTCTGATGTTTCCCAAGGATTAAATTCAGGTTACATAGGCTCCTGTAGTATTCAGGCTCCAAAGAAGCCAGAATCACCAAAGAAGTGATAGGCATCCTTCTCAGTGCATCAGATCGGGAAGTACATGATGTTAGTTTGTTACGATGTTGATGATGTTAACATTGAATATTTGTTTAAGGTGGTGTCTGCCAAGTTTCCATTATAAAGTTACCATTTTCTCTTTCTCCATGGTTAATAATTTGTGGGAAGATAACTTTGAAACTATATAAGTATCTACACTTCATAAAATGTTTTGTTTACCTACTTTTTTTTTTTTTTTTTTTCAGATGGAGTCTTGCTCTATTGCCCAGGCTGGAGTGCAGTGGCACGATCTCGGCTCACTGCAACCTCTGCCTCCTGGGTTCAAGTGATTCTCCTGCCTTAGCCTCCCAAGTAGCTGGGACTACAGGTGCACACCACCATGCCCAGCTAACTTTTTATACTTTTTAGTAGAGACAGGGTTTTGCCGTGTTGGCCAGACTGGTCCCTGCCTTGGCCTCCCAAAGTGTTGGGATTATAGGCGTGAGCCACTGTGCTCAGCCATACTCACTGTTTTTAGGTCTATTGCAAGTTCATAATTTATCTATTTGTTAGCCTACTGTAATATTCTTTCTTATTCATTTGTTTATTTGTATATTCATGTTACCATCATCTTTTGGGTTTTTATTTTATTCAGTCAGTCATAATTCATTACTCTCATTGTATTGATACCCAGATTGCCATAGATCTAGCCGATAGGAGTCCCTTCAAACAGGATCCTGTATGTGTTTAATATGCCTCCATTATTATTTGAGAACTTTAGTTTCTGGTGCAAATTGATGCTCCAGAATCATCATGGTCTTTTCTTGTCCTAGTCCTGCAGTCAGCTAGCAATTTTCTTTTCTTTTTCTTTTCTTTTTTCTTTTCTTTCTGCTGGTTCTTTATGAGGACATAGTATCTAAAGAAACCAAGATATGGATACTATGTATAGTCAGTGCTATAAGTATACCATTACTTACAGACCTCAGTAGACAGAAGTAGGAAATGTACATGCATACTTACTATAATATATAATACACATATAATATAATTCATAAGATTCACCCATATACAAGTATATACACATACGTGTATTTTTCTCTACCCAATAAAAAAACTGTGTGTTCATACTGATACCTCCCATTCAATTCAGTACCTCAGGTACATCCTAGTCTTTCTCCTTTGTGTATTTCTACTGCCTTCTTTAACAGACAGAAACCTGGCTTCCGTTATCCTTATTAATATGTTCACTCATTTGCTTGAGCCTAGAATATACAGTAAGTGGTTTCAAAATTGCTTACTGATACCACCATGATAGACAAACTGAGTTTAATATTTGTTTATAATTGTTAATGCTGCAATTTTTAGTGCAACATTTACATAGAGTGAAATTCATAAATTATAAGTATACAATTTGGTGAACTTTGGCAAAATAAATACACCTATGTGACATGCCCTTCTTAAGATATAATTTCATTTCAGAAAGTTCCCTCATGCTTCTTTCTGATCAATAATGTTCCACTGGAAGTAACCAGTTTTTGAGTTGTTTTAACTATCGATCCATTTTACCTATTCTAGAACTTCCTATAAATGAAATTATACGGCGTGCGCCCTTTTTTAATGTGTCCAGCTTCTTTTGTTCAGCATAATGTCTATGAGATCCATTCATACTGTTGTGTATATAAGTAGTGTGTTTCTTTTTATTGCCGTGTAAGTTTCCATTATATGAACATATCATTATTTGTTTTACATTCTCTTGTTAGTGGATACTTTGATTATTTTTAGTTTTTGACTATTATGAGTAAAATTCATAATAGTCAACCTTCTATATGGATCTTTTTGTGGACCTCTGTTTTATTTCTCTCATTAGGAATAGAATTGCTGGGTCATTGGGTGAAGGGCATGAGATATGATATATTTAATCTCTATTAGAAACTTCCAAACCCCTTTTCAGAATGATTGTGCCATTTACACTCCCACTAGCAATAGATGAGAGTTCTGGTTGTCGTACGTGCTTGCTAACTTTTACATTGTCCATCTTTAATTTTGACATTCTGTTGGGCATTTATTGGTATTTTTTTGTGGATTTTCTAGCTCATATATATTTAATTGGCTTCATTTAAGGTGTATTTTTCCTAGAACATATCATTTTGGGAAAATCCCATTAAATGCAGATAATTAGTAAGATGCCATTTTCAGTAGAATAACTGGTGCTTTAAACAAAGCTTTGCTCATGTAGAATCAGCACTAACATTAGGATAAAGGCGTGGGAACTTCAGCATGCCCACTGGACTGACATGGCAGTGTGTATTAATGTAGCAAGAAATCCTGTCTTTGGTAAGAGTGGGTCCTCTCTCATGTTAAAAGTCACTTTAAAATTCATATAATTTAGAAAACAACCTTCAAGTTCTACTTAGTGAATAGTTAATTTTTACTGAGTGTCTGCGCTATAGTTATTCTTATGTTCAGCTCTATGAAATTGAATCGAAGCAATAGGCATTATTCCTGTCTCATACAACTTTAATAATATCTGTGCAGGAAGTGCTGAAGTTTCCACACATGGTATGGCAAAGATTACATTTATGAGTTAAATTTTTTAAAAAACTGATAAAATGTTTGGTTTATTTTGGTCTGAAGCTTTCTGAAAGCAGGGAATCTGTTCTGTGGTCACATACTACAGAGGTGAGTCAAAGGTAGAAAAGAAGATACTGTGCGTGGTGGCTCCTGTCTGTGATCCCAGCACTTTGGGAGGTTGAGGTGGGCAGGAGTTTGAGACTAGCCTGGCCAAAATGGTGAAACCCCATCTCTACTAACAATACAAAAAAGTTAGCAGGGCATAGTGGCACACGCCTGTAGTCACAACTACTTG